CAGATAACACGTTGCAGCATCAGGCTAATCAGGAGGAGCGCTGAGGGCTCCCAGCAGAGCCCGGACCGTCATCCGCTCCGATGACTTCCCAGAAGCTCCACTTCTGTTGGCTGCACTCTCCACTCGCAGCCTCTTTGGGAAGCTCATAAATAACGACTTGGAAGAGAAATGATTTAAGATTACAAAACTTTTTCAAGAGCAAGTCAAGGTGCCAGCATATTCAAAAGCTGACAGATAAGTCGGGGCAGGTACTTTGTGAGAGATGTGCTTTGTATCTTCGATGTGACAAACATGCTGCAGTAAATTCACAAATGTGAGCTTGCTGCTGCATTTTTCGAAGCCCCGCCACCAAGCCATCATGTTTAGCTCAGTCACTCATGCTGAGTGAAGAGGCAAGTAAGGATTTTCTCCTGTTGCTAGAAATGCTTTGCTCAGTTCACTGGACTCTTTGCAATGACAGTGATGTGCGACAGGTCCCGCAGATTTGGGGAGGTGGTAGTGGGTGTATTTTACAGTACTGTTGGATTTGAAAATTTTCATGTTAGTGTCTTCCTCTTTTGGTAGTATTTGTGGGGTCTCACTTTTGTTGTGGATCATTTTCTGGCATAGGCTGGACAGTTCTTTAAAGATCCTCACAGATTAAAAATTGAGGCAGAGGAAGAGACTGTGAGAATTTCCTGTAGATACATACAAAGTTGACAGTAGTGCAAGGAGGCAAACAATGCAAGGAGTGTCCTAACCACTGAACTGTCTTTTCTCCTCAGTGCAATGCATTATACATGGAATACGTATATTTTCATGAACAGTTTATGGGAATACATATCTTTCTAAAAAGCTGATGTTAGGTTAATGATGGATCTTACAAAATGAAGTGGGAAATACATTCATTTTTATGTGGCAGGAAAGAGCTTTCCTAATGAAGTAGTAATTAAATAAGAAGGATAGTTGTTAAAGAACTGGTAAATCTAGTGCACTCTATCCCTCTTATCTCAGCAGTTTTAGCAGCAGTTCTGGGTAAGAAAAAAGGGGATTTCTGACAAGCATGAAGTCCCACCAGAAAAATATAAAAAGAGCAATGTGTCATAGGAATCTTAAAAATATGAAACAATGTCAAATAAATGAAATTGATTTCTAGAAGAGAATAATAGAGGCTGAAAAAGGTACCCAGAAAGCCAGAAGACTTTTCTGTTTCCTTAATTAGGATAATTATACTAAAACTGACAGCAAATGTTTTCCCAGTAGCAAAAAACACCCACAAACCCCAGCTAGCCGAAATACTGCTTAGAGCATGAGATCTGTGAAGGTTAAAGGCTTGAGTCTGACATTGGGAGAGCACTCCTCTTCTCCCAAGGTCAGTCCTTAAATGTGGAGAAGTAATTTTGATTCTGATCTCTTCACAGTTCAAAGTCAACGCTTACCTTGATTTCAACAATGCTATATTTGGCAAAGTACTAATATAATTGTATTTGGTCCCAGTCTTGTCCTGTTTGAATGTTAAATGCCTCTTAATACTGAGCCCATTGTGCTCTCTGTCTCATAATTTAGATGATGTATAAAATAGAGAGCAGTGTGGGCCCACTGGAGCAATCCCTCTGGGGAAACTGATGGTGCCAATGTCCACACTACACATGTTCTGGGAGTTTTACTTCAGATTTCATCTGGACCTTTGCTGCTGTGGACTGAAATTTCTTGAATTGTTTTTATAGCACATGAAGAGCTCCTGGAGCACATCTTTGGGTGTAGTTTCGCCAAAAAGGATACAGTCTGTGCAATCATGCAGTCCCAAGATCTGTGAGCCAAATACAGCACATAGGTGTGACAGGAGTAACGGAGATGACCTCGAACAAATCACGCTGTGTGTCAGCCCATGTATAAAATCTCAGTTGCTGTTTCCTCGTTGTTCCTTCATGTTCATCATGTCCCACCATCATGCTCAGCTTCTCCTTGCTAATAATTAAAACTTGTCAAGAAGAGAAAAGTGGTTGTACAATCTCCTATCAGAGATTGTCCAGCCCAGGGACATTCTCTCTCTCAGTAAGCACTAACGAGTGTCTGGGAGAGACTTTAATAACCAGGCAGGGATGTGGTGGTATTTCCCTAGAATAGTTAGCTTCCAGAAAATTCACCACGCAAGGGTTTTCTAAGCCAGAGGATTTGTATTTATATCTAATAGCCACCGATACGTGTTTTTTTCTTTTGTGAATTATTTAGCTACTTTTAAAATTTATGTTGATTTTAGAATCTAGTGTCCTGCAAGAAAGAGTTTGACACTGACTTCATGCTGCACAGTTTGGATTTATTAAGAAGAGAGTGAAGATATTAATAAGAGGGTTCAAATGCCCCCAGGTTGCCTCTACTCACATTAATCCTAGAAATAGGATTGTCTAGCACATGTAGTAATGGAGTCAGCATGCCCAAATTAAGTGTTGATGGATGCAGTCAATGTGCAAATCCACCCCATCTGGGGCTCTGCACTACTGTGTGAGGGTTTACGTCGATGTGAATGGGAAACTCTGCCCAAACCATGGAATGCAGAGAGATCCATTGTACCTTCTCTAGTTTTTTTCAGAGCCAGAGGGGCTTGAAGTTTGGATTATGACCATGTTTCTGTGGGAGCCAGACTGCTGACCCAAAAGCACTCAGCTCTTGCGGGAATCAGTCAGCAAGGTCTTCACCCTTCCCTCTGATCCTTGTGTTCCAGGCCTGGGATTTTATCAGATTGTATTTGTGATCTCACTTGATGTTTCGAAAAAACAGTGGAATGCAAACATTTGGCCAGAGGGAAAACCTCCCAGTTACTGAAGGGGAAAAGAACACGATATCCAAATGACTCACAGCTTTGTGGGTGAAGCAATGGCTGCGAGCCATAGCTTGGGATGTGGGTTTGTGGTCCGAGGCCACATAAACAGGATATCTTAGGTTGTGAGGTTGGCATTAATTGCTTTGGTAGGACTTATCCTGTGAATTCCCGGAATTTGCTTGTTAAGATATCACTGACTGCATGGTGGCGATTAACAAGACAGGGAGGGCATCCACCTGATACAACCAAACCCTCCTCCGGCCAACAGTTAAGGGCATTTATGACAAAGCCCTTCCGTTGCTAAAAGAGGTAGGACCTGCAGGAGGAGTTGCAGGCGGCTGTGGCAGGAGGAACTGTGGGGATGAGAGAGTTTTCTGAGGCCTGGAAGGGAATCTGAAGGGGGGCAGCAGGAGCCATCGTTCCTGGGAGGTAGCTGGTGCCTCTGAAGTTTTTTGCTTCTGGGACAGGTTACCCAAAGATCTGTGGGATGAGCACGCTCTGATGTCTGCTGCAGTACCCCTCTGCCTGGTGTCCCCTGCTCCCGCTGACTTGCATCTGCTGAGGGTACTCTCAGGTTACCAACTGTTATTCTTGTTTTCCTCTGAATCACTTGGTGACGCTAAGAAAAAACACGTAAATGCTAATGCAGGTGTAAGTATGAAGGTTAGTGGCACCTCCGCAGACCTCTGCTTCTGCCTTACTCACTACTAATCACTTGTACCTGCTGGGATTCAACCATAATGCCTGTTCTAGGAAGTCTGCAGCAGTTACTCACTGTCCTAAACATGAACTTGCAGATGTGAGAAAATACAGGTTGTTTTTTTCCGGATTCTCTGTCTTTCCTCTCAGTCTTTCTATTGCAGAATTTCCTCACCTCTCCCACTCCTTTCCATCCTTTGAGACTCTGGTCACTGCTCTGTGGCTGTGCAGCTCAGGAGCTCAGTGGAGCTGTAGGTCAGGGCTCCCCTCTAGTGATACCAGCTGGGGGGACCCTGCGCCTGTGCAGGTGCTGGCCTGTTCTCAGGGAGCCTCCACCACCCTGCACATCCATGCTGGGTGGGATCCATGCTCTGCTGGCTAGAGGAGGGAAGAATGTTGGAAGCACCTGTACCTGCTTTCTCTTCCAGCCAAACCCCTCCTGTAGGCAGAAGCTGTTGCGGAGTATATTTTGCTACATCCTACTACTGCTTCCTGCAGCAGAAGCATCATGGGATACAGTTTACAGCTTGGGAGACAACTGCAGGGCATCGCCTGAACCCAGCTGTTTGCAGATCAGTTGGCTTTGGGGAAACAGCCAACATTTTTCAGTTTTCTGGGGTGCTTTGGTTTGCCCATGAGGTTAGAATTTGCAGTGTTAGATAAGCACAGATAAATATAATTTATCCATTTCTGACCTGAACAATCACATGTTTCCTCGGGTCTCAGTGCCTGGCTCGAAGACTAAGGGATCTTCTTTGTGGCTCCAACAGTGCTGGGAGTCAGGGTTGGTCCCACATATGAAGAATCTTTTTTTTGAAGCAGTTCAGAGGCTGGGGCTGCTGCTTGGGAAATGGCTGTAATCTCCCTGCAGGCAGATCAATACATTTCAGCTCACTGCGCTGCAAGTAACTTTTCATCGTACATTAAGAATGAGGAAAATAAAAGCCAAGATGGATGTTATTTTGGTTTTGCTTTTATTTTGAATTATTTATTAGGAAGTTACTGCTGTCTTCCTTCTGAGGAGGCAAAATGCCTTTGTCTATGTTGACTTTTTCTATTAAAAAGAAACGAGGTCTTCCCAGTTTTATTTCCCTCACTCATTTGCTTCTTGGTACTGAAGTGTATATCTGGGGTCTCCACAACTTGACAAGAGGGTGTTCTGTAGTCGTAATGCAGGCAAAGTCCCCAGTGATGCTAGTGGACTCACACCTCATTGGTACCTTTCTAACCAATTTTATAACAACATTGCAAACAAGTTATATGAATGATTGCTGGCACATAAGCCAAGAGCATTATGGAGGGCTGTAAGTAATCTGCAAGCTAGATGAACTATCATTTTAATTAAGCATTTACTAAGTAGCTAGTAAAAATATTAATCTTTTAAACTGAACTTTTAATATAACACATTATGGGGCAAAAAATCTGCACTTGGATCCATTATTAATATCAGTTTGGAAGCTCAAACTAACAATAAATTTGATGTTTTTCTTCCTAAATCTAGGTTATCCTGAAGGGGAGGATAAAGAAACTGGCCACCAAGATGGTAATCACTAGTGGAAATGAAGAAGATAAAGGCAGTCAAGAAAAGGAAAGCAAAGAAGAAACCATCTTGGCAATGCTTGGAATTATTGGGACAATTCTGAATCTCATTGTGATCATTTTTGTGTATATTTACACGACATTGTAAACTAGAAGGCATGCAAATAGACCAGATAAAACGGCCATTAAGAGTGACTACAAACACTGCTGACTATTGACAAGTTGTTTAATCAGAATTGACTCTGTATTATATTAACACATCATAAAAGCACTGCCTGAAGGCAGCGAAGACTGAAGCACAATTAATTGAACAAGACTTTTTCACACAGTAACAAGCTTAACTCTTCTGTCCTGCCCGCTTCCTTTCGGTTTTCAGTTTGGGGGAAAATGACTGCCATTATGTAAGTTGTAGCTTTGAAAAAATCCACCAGGGATATGTTGTTTTAACACAATTAAAACAAAAAGAAAGAAAGAAAGAAAGAAACTGTACACTATATACCATTAGAAATGTATCCTGTATACCCGCAAAGATTGAACTCAAAGATAGCTTCATAGCACAGATCATGTGTCTGTTAGGTCAAATGTTTTTTTTCTCTCAGTTTGTGCTTTTACTTATATTGAATCTGACAAGCTTTTTATTTAGAATGAACATATGGTGCAATCATGAAAAAAACCAATTCCATTGAGCAAGGCCTGCCTAAACCTGATAAAATGTTGGAAGAAACACATTACATGGTTATTTTTCTTTTCTCGTTTGCTTAACGTCTGTGTCTGTTCATACCAATGTTTATAAATATATATTTTTAATAAATGTGCTATATTTTTAGCATGAACCAAATATTTTGAGACACTTGTATTCATGCAGCTAAATTTTGTTTAATGAAGTGCCCTTTTTGACAATGGATGTTATTTTTCTCAGCAATTATACAGCAGTCTTGTTTGCAGCCCTCTCACTGTGGTCTGAAGCAAGCTTACATCATGCTCATATGCATGACTTGAAGTTGGAATGTCAGCTGAAAAGCATTGCTGCTTAATACGGGAAATAGCAAAAGATTGTAAGGTGACCTTTGGAGACTGGTTGCAGAAAGAAGGCTCTATTTATAGTTTAAAAAAAAACACACCACAGATGAAAGGAATATCGAGGCATATTACAAAATTTGCAGAATTTATGGCTTTCAAAATCTGGTCACACTCTCTAAGTACCTGTATTGAGGGAAGCGAGCAAAGGTTTATGCAGTTAAATAGAAAAATTTAGAAAGCCTGTAGTGAGGGGCTTAAGCAAAATGCAGACTGTAAATATGGAGTATATTTAAAATGTGAGGATCATTAACCCTTCATGCTTCTCTGACATGTGCTTTAACAGAGGTTGGTGCAGTGAAATTCTCTGACTTGTGTTTTTGACAGGAATGTACAATGATGATGATGACCATTTTTCTTCAGAGTTCAGTACCTATAAATATATGAAGCATTAAAAATATGAGACCTCAATTTTGCCTCAAGCTGCCTAAGTATGTTGCCCATTAACTCTGACATATCCTCTTGAAAAATATGTCAATTAATTGTTTACTGACTTGTGGTTTGGATGGCATCCTCGGATACGGAAGGGGGTTACTATTGAAGCCAGCAGGAGCTGTAAAAAGTTTGATCCTAGAGTTTCATTGATTTTAGTGATCAGTCCTGTCCTTCTGGAATCAGTAATGAGCTTTTCACCATTTTTCCAGGGGCTAAGACTGGCGTCAGAAGTAGACAATTTTATTGCAGGATATAAAAGCAAACCTGGAGAACCGTGAGGGGCACCTCTCATAAACAGAGGTGTTTAGTCTCTCTCTCACATGTTCAATAACAAAACCATCAGGAAAAGGGAAAATGTCAGTAAATAAATTAAAATTAAATCCAATATGAGGAATTAAGGAATAAAGAGAAAAAAAAATCTCATGTTAATGAAAACAAGGCAGAGTGAGAGAGGTGAGAAAGCGAGCAGAGATGTGAACAAATGTAGAACGGCACAGAAAGAGAGTGCCAAGCACACTGGAGTGGTTGAGGAAACATTTGAGTCTGGATGGTGCTGGCAGAGCTGCAGGTCTTGGAGAGGGTAAGAAACACCAGTAGCACAGTTTAGTGGAACAGAGCGAGGCCGACCTTGGTTTTTAATTTCTAGTTATTTATTGGTAATTCTAAGGAACTAGCAAACTCTGCCTTTTCATCATCCTGAGTGAAAAAGAAGAAAAAAATATATTGGCTGGTCGCGACACTTGACAATGGCATTGGCACTTGTGTCCCAGAGTACGCCTACACGTACTCCAGGCACCTGGCCAAGTCCAGCCTCCCCCTGGCAGTATCCTTCTGCAGATGTTTCTCTTGAACCTCTCCTCTTCCTCCTCCTTCTCCAGCAAATGCTGAAGCAGTTTGCCTGAGGTTCGTGCTCATCTTCTAGAGAGAAAGCCTGGGAAAGAGCAGTGTCCAAATCAGGAGATGAGCGCTGATGCCCGATATTTCTTTGCCTCTCTCTGCATCAGATGATAATACATGTCATCTTGTGGACGTGAAGATGCTTAATGAATGAAATTTCATTAGGTACTTTTATTAATATTACAAATTATGGCTCTGCATTGTAAATCAATGTATCGCACGCCCACCCTCCTAAGGTAAAATAGCAACTTTTGCTGCTCACCACAGTTGCACTCCGTCAGACATGGGACAGCATCTTCATCAAGACACTGCAAATAGCCCAGATATGTTTAAGATGAACTGTTGGGCCAAAAAGCCTATGGACTCTGTGTTTACTCTGTCTCTCTCAACACCAGGGCCATTAAGGGGAAGAGTTTCCAGCTGTGGGTGTGAGGTGCCTTGCCAGTGCCTACTGCCCTGCACCAACAGCAGCTGTGTGCTCTATGCTTCACCACAGGGCTTTTACTGCATCCTGAAATAGGAAAAAAATGCTTATCCCATTCCATAAAAAGTTTAATGCTTAATATTTTAATTTTACAGGTTTCTGTTCACAGATAGTTCTAGAAATATCCTGAGGCAAGTACTTCTTAAGTAGATTCATTAAGTATTCATTTAAATAAAAATGAAGAGTTTCCTTTGAGGGCAATTTCTTTACCTTTTATTTGGTATTCATGAGCACTGATACGGGAAAATATGTTTTCAAGAATGACTGTGAAAGAGAAATGTTTTATACAAGTATGCCTACCCAGGCAGTCGCACGCCAGCCTGCTTTCGGCTGAATGCCAGCTGGAGCCAAATTACCCTCATGCTTTTTTATGTGAGCAGTTTTCAGCATGCACCTATAAGAATTATTCAACTAGGTAACATATATATTATGGATACCTTATAGTTCATAACTGCAGTACAAATAGTTGAATAAAACTTCTCATTACAGGTGCTGAATTTGCTTTGCCAAAGAAAAAGCTGATAGCCTCATTTTTGGCTTGACTTGCAGGTATTGCAAACAGTTTGCAGAGTAATTTTTAAAATAAAATATTACTCCATTAGTGACAGGAACTTTCATGTTTGTATCTGAGTAGAAGGAAACAAATATCTAATATCTTAATATGATATGAAAACATCACCTTTGGCTTCTGTCAACTAAGAATACCATTGTACTTTTAAATTATCCGATATAGCTTGATGGTTTGTGTTATGGGAATGGAAAATGTTTTCCTGAGGTGACAGGGTGGTGACAGTCTTCCCACTAGTGTCTGGTGGGTGCAGAAGACTTTCAAGAAAGAGGAAGATAAAACTATTTATGTGACATTATGCACACAACGAAGTGAGGAGAAAGAAGAAAGATAGGCTACCTCTTCTCTGGTTCCTATAACTGATACTGAAAATTCATCATCTCATGACTTGTGTCTTCATACAAGAATAGATCTTCTTAGTGTGCTGGTTGACAGGGACACCTTTTCAATTATGCTCCATCTGCTTGCACCTCTGCACAATGTGCGGCTCATCACACCTTGGGACAGTTTTTAAATATACCCAGCCTTGGAGCCTCTGGAAGCTGCTGTTTTGGTTTACTGTGCTGTAAAGGTTTATTGTAGGGCAGAGTTTTATTATTTTAAGGAGAATCAGTAATCTGACATGTTATTGTCTGGTAAGGGGTACTTTGCTGGTTGAATTCCCAGACCCATTGCCCCTGGCTTGCAGGTAAAATTTTAGTTCAATAGACATCCAAATATAGAAAAAACTTCAGTTACATCATGACAAAACTTTAGTATGAAGTACTGTTCAGATACAAGTATCTTATATTTCCATTAAATCTATATCCTGGAGTTCACTCCGAATGTCCCAAGGTCTCATCCATGTCAGGAGGTCTCACTGTTTCTAAGTGCATTGTGGCACGAGCAAATAACTTGGCTCAGGGAGGAAATCTGGAATGAAGTAACTAAATTAAAATTCCAGGGACGCAGCACTGCAGAATTTCCTAATTAAAGAGTTTAAGGTTTGTCTGGAGTACTTTGTTGCTGGCCAGCCAGTATTTTGGAGAAAAAAATTGTTGTTCCTTGGAAAGTTGCTGGAAGAAATATGTCCAATTGAGAAAGAACCTCATTGAAAATATTTCAGCAGCAAATTCCAGCAAAGAAAACACCAACCAGGCCTTCAAGTGACTCTGGCTTGCTTCCCAGGAATACTTTTTGGCAGCCCAGGAACACAGTGCACATATATGTAAGCACTTCTTGTTTACCGAGAGGCTTTGGTTTTTTTGGAGCAGAATGCACAGATTTACAAAGATTTACGAATGTAAGGAATAGGACATTATACGGTCAAAAAAAGAGAAAAAGCTGTTCACCTGTATTTCCAGCAGACACCCTGCAGACATCCTGCAGAACCTGCACTGTTTCCATGCCTGGCTGTGCATTTTGGAGGCTCTTCCCAAAGGGTCTTATAAACTCAGTGTAGCTTTCCTTCCCCACCGCTGATCCAAGAGAAACAAAACCTGTTCAGCGTGGAAACCTCCATGCCGGGCTGAAATCCCACATGCATCCATATGCATTTATCTACACACGAACCATCTGGTATCCAATAAGACTCTCTTTGTCTTAGGCATTAGGTTTGCTTATTTGCATGTCACCTGGGGACTCAGATGGTGAAAGGCAATTTGTAGGGTTGAAAGCACCCAACTGTTTCCAGTGACACAGCTTTACATAATGTAGCCGTTCCCTGTAAAGGTGCCGATCATCCTGAAACATACCTGTGCAGTGCCATACACAGCACACACAGCTCTCCATGGGTAGTCTCTCACTGACAGACTATCCCTGACTGCAAGGGAGTGGGTTTGGGCTGTAACTGGTCCCTGTAGCAAGGATTTGTACCAATGGTGGGATCCCAAGTGAAACTCTGTAGAGTGAAAAGATATTGTGTCTTGTTCATTTCTATGAAATGAACATGGCACTTAGCTATGTTCACCTATTAACAAGGTACTTAGCTATGTTCACAACACCAGGATCCCTTCTTCTGCAACCAGTACAAATTCACCTTTAGATGATCCATGCACCACTCCTGACCCTCTTCTTGGAAGCTGCAGATCTTCATTCCATCTGCGTGAAGAAAACAGCTTTGGGCTTCCCTAACCTAGGGAGCGCTATCCTTTCTGCAAGGCAGAGGTAGAGTCAGGAGATCTTGCTGTGAACAACCAGGTCAGTTGCCTCGAGTGCTGATGGGCACCCTTTTCCCTCCCATCCCACATAACCTGGGAAATGCAAGTACCTGGTCTCTGGATTTTCCACAGGCTCAGTCACCAGTTTGACTCATGCAGACTCGTTTTATGACGCTGAAATTTTGTTATACTCGAATGCCTCCTGGAGCCAGGTCTTCAGGAGTAGATTAAAGACCCTG